ATATATATATATATATATATATATATATATATATATATATATATATATTACCGTCTCTCGAATCTTCTCGATCCTTTATTTCATCGAACGGGGGATTCTTCGTGTATTCTCGGGAGAGGGAGACAGCAGTCTCCATTTCGTCCCGAGAAAGAACACCGCCAAGAGCAGGTCCCGAGGGTTGGATCCACTGGCGTCGCCCTCGATTCATCCTCGATCCCTGGCTTGTTTATCGATGGGTTTTGAGTCGAGAGCCGCCATCCAACAAGGGAGCCGTGACCATCAGGTTCTTATCCTCCTTCCTCTGCTCGTATCGCTCTTGGTTAGACTTGTTCATGGTTTTCATGATAGATCAGGAAGGTGTTTCTTGATCTATTTTTACAAATAGATTTTCGTTGAGCATCGATCATTAGTTCCGCATGGCTTCGACCATGTTCCATCAAATCGAGACACATTATAGGATGGATCAATGATCCTGGTTCATCTGTTTACTTATGATGAGGTTTGGACGGTTAAGGTTAGGGTATGACCGGATTAGGGTTTTTTTTGTTTGCCTCATATGTAATAGCCGGGTGTTATTATCTGATCTTCTTTTACATGTAATTTTAGTTTGGTGTTGATCATTGTTTTTATATGGTAGTATTCTGCGAGCACAGTGCGATGGCTGCCGATTTTGCCATTGTATAATCCACTAAACAATTATGAAATGTTGGTAGCCTATGATTTCTATTTGATGATCAAATTCACATGGGCCTCACTTTTCTAGAAAAGCATGCGGGTGCACATGAACACATGTAGTTTCTCTGTCTGTATCTTCGAAATGTATGATGATACTACGGAAAGTTATTTTTAGAAGAGGCCAAAGAACACTATACTATTACAACAAGAAATCCATTGGGCAATCCGAGAATCCTAAGCCAACCACAATGAAAATCTTGACTGTCCAAATCCTTCAATGCATGGGCAGATCTAACCAAGATCTATTTGATCCATGATTCATAAATGAGTCAAACAAAGATCCAATCAATTAATGAGTTGTGCCGATGAAACCAGAGATAGAAAGTTGAACGAAGGTGGAGAAGCTGGATATTTGATCGATGCCATTGTCGGGGTTTGTTCGTTGTCCACATTCTTCTTGACTTTATCCTCGAATTGGGCATGATGCCTTATGTGAAAACAATCTCAGTAAAGCTGCATATGCAAGACATTGTATTAATGGAAGCCTTGTGTGTAATCATCCTTTTTTGGGATATTTTGGGCTTGGAAATTCTTTCATATATGCATTTGCAGAGTTGGAGTTCGTTAATGTGTATGCATTCTGTTTGAAGGTCAAGTGATGTGATCGGTCCCATTGATATCAATCATATTGTCTGAGCTAAAATGGTTTCTCAAAGATGACACAGTATGGTTGTCTGCTTTGGGTCTATTTTTACTTTCTAATAAAGTCTACATTCACATTAGTGAATATGTAGTACAGTATAGTTGTTTGTTTTGGATCGATTGTTAGTAGAAATCTAAATTTACATAGACAAAGATATAGTCAGCCATGGTCTTGCCCTTGTGTGGTTTAACATTCTATCTACATCAGTATGCGGCATTACATCAATTTTGACATATAGCTGCAATCCTTTTTAACAAAATATTCTGGTATAGAGCGAAAAAGTATGCTGAAACTTCAGATTGGTGCAATGTTATTATCATATTTTTCAGTGATTATTTAGGCAGCTGAGAAGTTGTGTTGTAGACATTGTATGTCTTAGTTTATGAATCATATCGTCGACTCTATTGACAAGGTAAAATAGCCAATATGGTTCATGATGACTTTTTAGAGTTTGGCGGTCATTAATGCCCATCTATCTAAATGCTTCACTTGAAACTTGGGGAAAAGCATCATTGTCCTATGTTATTGCACAATCGGAGATGGACAAAGCTTTACCAAAATTAGAACTATGTTATTGCCTTGTTACTAACTTAAATTTTATTAATTACTAAACAATATCTCCACATAGAATTAGACCGGTAAAAACATATATTACACTTGATCTTATTAGATATCATCAACCATGTTGGTCATGCCTATTAGTTTAGCATTCATGATTGGCATGTCTGAACGACAATGTACTTTTTGTTCTTACATGAACTTGTGAAACGAGTGCGTAAATGTTAGGTTTGGAAATTTCAATATTGTTAATTGCACTTTTATTTTTTCCACGAAGACTGCAAACTGTCATGTTTGTACTTTACTTCATATCCGTTCATTCACACAAATGTTTCCTTAGGAGTGTGTATGCATAACACTACTCACTCAATGAGTCGGATATGATGGTTGTGAGATGAGTTCACACAAGAAACAAGAAAAAAAAGCTCGGGTATTTGTTGGATGGTCCATCACCGATGTGACAGAAGGTACACACATTAAATGCTGCATACAACTAACTATGTCTTGTATCGACCTGATAGTATGACTCTTTCCATATCGTAAATAATATTTATTACTCAAATGTCTATTGCGTTGGCAGCGATATCGCTGGCGAACAAGATGTTCTTGGCATGTCAACAACGTCTCCACCACCCTCAGCCACTCCCTACTTCCGAAGAACAATTTCCCATCAACAAAAAAAAAAAGTGTATGTTCCTCTTCCTTTTACTCTCGTTAAATCGCTAATCGTTTTGTGCTTGAGGTCTCTCTCTAGTATCGTATCCTTCTCTTCAACCGACTTTATCCATTGGCCCTATATGTTGCCTACACGCCGGTCCCCTCTTGGGCTTGACTCGGCGACACAATCGCATGGCACTACAGAAAAGGTTGTGCCTCAATGCGGGTGGGGTCATAAGGATTTGGGTGCATCGGCTGCACCCACGGGGTGGGTGGTGGGCCAAATCTGATGTTGATGCGCCAGACCAAAGGTTCGGTTATGAGGAGGGTCCATCTTTCCATAACCCAAGAACCCGAGTCTTTCGTACCCCGACTTTAACTCGCGATGCAATTCCCTAAAGAGCTAGTGAAGTCCGGAGCGGAATTCATTCTTGGGTTAGAATTTCCGAACATGAGCCGGAAATGATAAAAAGTCCTCTTTTTCAATCCGCCGGTGGATAGTTTGGCAGACATAGACCACCACATCAATCTGTCCCACTTTGGAATCTTCCATCAGAAATCGTTACTTTACCTAAGCCGAAACGTTCCGAGGTTGACCACAACTGTGCATTGATGAGGGGTGTTATTATAGCGGGCCGGCCATTCACAAAATATAGAGTCAACACACTGAGTCGGTCAAATCAGGCGGGCTACATGTGCACTGGTTTTAGTGCAAGTTCACGATAAGCAACTGAGCCGGGGAAATAAAGTAGCTGACGGGTATGTTGTTTTTTTTTGTTGTTGCGTTTTCTATATAAATAAAGGCGGTCATTCTTTTGGTACCTGTGCATGTCCGTGTTTGTTGATTAATTTATTCGTTTACAATAATATTAATTTTCCTTGGATTTCGGATGCTCTTTTGCGGCATGTTCGGATGGATAGATAAAAAGGAGGAAAGCACAAGAATCCTGTCCTTATTAAAATTTAAAAAGAGAAAGTCAACCAAATTAGTAATCTGTTTTTGCCATTTAAACTTGAATCAGTGAGTATTGACAGGACTCAGCATCTCACCAAGTCGTAGCTTGTCACTTCAAACATACGTAGAAGAGGTTCAAAGAGGAATCCATAAAACGAATGGCATAAATACGAAGCAATCGGCGATGCTGAAATCTGGCCCTAGTATATATATATATATATATATATATATATATATATATATTCTCTTCTTTTGACTCGAACGGTCTTCTTGTTTTGTTCTAATCTCTCGAGTCCAAATGACTGCAGGGTGCAAGAATCCCATGTATCGTCGTCGTCGTCGTCGTCGTCTTCTCCGGAATTGATAACACAGTGTTCCTTGTAAGCAACACGTCAGTGATCATATCAGCCGCAGCACCAATAAGCGAGCGCACTACAGATGTAAAAGGGGGAAGGAGAGAGAAGAAAGAGATGGAGTCGCATCTTGCTTCCACTTTGCTTCCTCAACGCGTTCTCCACGCCAACTTTCTTCGCTCGCTTTCAGCGTCAAATACCTCTCTCCCTCTTTTCAACCTCTCCCCTCAGTCGCTTCCACTATCTCTGCGTTCCAAGACTCCGAACCGAAGCAAACCAAACACGTCGGAAGACTTCGGTCCCGTCTACTATCCTGCGCGGAAGCGAAGAAAGGTCCCGGCTTTGGTGATCTCGGAAATCGTTTTAGCTACCGGCGCTTGCTGCGGCGAAAAACGATTCCAGCTTGACAGCAGGCGCAGCATCGGGAGTATCGAGGTCGTGCGTCGCCGGTGGTGATGCTGCGCTCGTGCTTGAGGCCGCTGGAGCGGTGCTTGGGGAGGAGGATCAGTGGCGCCGACGGGCTGCTGTGGGACGTGGACCTCAAGCCTCACACCACCGGCGAGTTCTCCATCGCCGTCGTCCAGGCCAACAGTTCCCTCGAGGACCAGGGCCAGGTGGTCAACTCCCCTTTCGCCACCTTCGTCGGCGTCTACGACGGCCACGGCGGACCCGAGGCGTCTCGCTTCGTCAGCAACCGCCTGCTCCCCTATGTCGAAAGTAATTTCCTCTTCCCTCCTTTTTATCGATTCCTTCATCAAATTCGATCTTGTAAGGGTCAATCTGATCAAAGTTTGACCTTTTTGTTTTCCCTCTTGGAACCGAGCAGGTTTCGCTTCGGAGGAAGGGGGCTTGTCGGTGGAGGTGATCAAGAAGGCGTTCGACGCGACCGAGAAGGATTTCTTGCATCTGGTGAAGCGGTCGTGGCTGTTGCGGCCGCAGATTGCGTCAGTGGGGTCGTGCTGCCTCGTCGGGGCGATCGCTGGCGACGCGCTCTACGTGGCCAATCTGGGGGACTCCAGGGCTGTACTCGGCCGCCGGGGCTTGGATGGGAGGGGCGCGGTGGCCCAGCGGCTGTCGACCGACCACAATGTCTCCGTGGAGGAAGTCAGGAAGGAGGTCGCTGAGCTGCATCCTGATGACAAGCAAATCGTCGTCCACGCCCGTGGCGCCTGGCGGATAAAAGGGATCATTCAGGTCAGTAGATGCTGCCCATGGTTAATAGTCACTGTTTTGATTGCCTCAATCGCTTCAGTCCAATTAAAAGAAGAGCATTAATTCGATCCATGATAAGCATCTCAGCTGAAATTTGTTATTTTCTGCCTCTTCTGGTCCTCCTCCCTTCTGCTTAACAATTTCAGTAGCTGTGGCGGAGTGTCTGCACATTGGTGATCATCTCTGTTCTTCTCTAGAGAAGGTTTTCTTTTATGTTGTACATGTACACCTCTTGATCATGGTCGTCTGGAATCAATAGCCACCATCATCATATGAAAGAAGACTTGAACAGTATAGTTGCTTAGTCCTATGGGCCAGATTTTTATGAATTCACCTTGTGCCATCAATCTGTAACCTCAGTGCAATTTCTTTTCATTATTTCCATAATTGATGGTCTTGTGATTCAAACTTTTATTTGCAATGTTCGAGTGGACCGTAATATGTCCATATTATATATGCATCTGATGGAGAGTAAATTTTTCTAAATTATGATATGGGCCCCACATATCAGGACTACAAGAGACCACGTCTCTCCAAAAAATCTTTTGGAGTGATTAAGTCAACCTAAATAGCATTTCCTGAGGATTAATTACCTACGGGGTATTTGTGTGAGCTTTCATTATGTGTTGATATAGAATCGATGAATACCAAGATCCCAAAAGGCTCATCGATTGTTTGTGGCATCGGAGATGCATTTTGATGTCCTTCCAGAGTGCCGGTCTTGTTGCTAATACATCAAATAATTTTTGTCCTCTTCTGCCAGAAGAATACCTTGAGCCAAACTATTAGGCTTGGTAGCAACTTGGCAGTGCCTTGGTAATTATCAATATGTGATGCCAAAATTATGCTCTTGTGGCAAAGGTTCATGAGTTTACAAACATATTTGTACCAAGAAATGTTAGATTTCTCTTTTGTTCTTTTATATTGTAAAGTACTCGTCTCAAATTAAATAAATGTTTTCAAATATATTAATTTCTCCTGATGTAAATTTAGTTGTCCCTCCTTTTATGCAAAAGATTGATTGTTTGTTTTTCTTCCCCTCCTTTTCTTTTTATTTATGAGTTGGATTAATGTTCTTCAGCATGTGAATTTCATCTCCTTGTTTTAGGTGAATTTCAAAATTCCCTGTCTGTGAAGGATTGATCTGACTGATCGCAGGCACATTGTTTATAACTTTTAAATTTGTTTTCTCTGGTCACACATCCTTGTTGGTTTTCTAATACATTTTGTACTCTATTTGAAGTCGTTAATTAACTTGTTTTGAGAATGCAAGTTAATAAAAACTAATTGGTAGGCAGAACTGTTGCTTTTGGGGCCTATGTCCATTTTTCCGTAAAGCAGTGTATCGCTGTCGCAGCAATACATAGTGATGGCACATTTAACATCAAATGAAGTAAATAAGACTATGATCAGCTTTTGAGAATATGTGAACATGTACTTTGATATTTTAATACACCATTGTGAAAAATGTTGTAGTTTTATAATATTCCTAGCAAGATTTATTTATTATGAATTATGAAGTCATCATTGTTAAATATGGAGTGACTTTTGTTTTTTCTTCTGCATGTTAGGTCTCAAGGTCTCTTGGTGACATCTACCTAAAGAAACCGGAGTTCAGTAGGGATCCATTGTTCCAGCAGCTTGTTTCTCCTCTGCCATTGAAGAGGCCCGTCATCACTGCAGAGCCATCCATACGAGTCCATAAGCTTAAGCCGCATGACTTATTTTTGATATTTGCATCAGACGGACTCTGGGAGCAATTAAGTGATGAAGCTGCCGTCGATATAGTATTCAAGAACCCAAGAGCAGTAAGCTCCTTGAATTCTAGCATGCTTTCTAACAGCTCTTCATTTATTTTGGTGTAAAAGCAAGGTGTTCTTCCTTGAAACTCATGCAGGGAATAGCAAAACGATTGGTCAGAGCCGCTCTTAATGAGGCTGCAAGGAAGAAGGAAACAAGATATGACGATATAAAACGGATTGGAAAGGGAATAAGGCGTCACTTTCATGACGACATCACTGTGATAGTGGTCTATCTTGATCAGCACCGCCAAGGTGGTCATTCCGGATTCAATAGTAGCAATCATGACTGCACTAGTGCACCCATTGACATATTTTCCTTCAATACCGATGGAGCAGAAGACCCTCTTGGGCCAGTTGAATCGATGCAAAGTGCAGATCTTCTGGTATGAGTACATTGTGCGTTACTGGTAATGCTTGAACATATATATCGTGTGTTCCATAAGCTTATGATCTAACATTAGTTGCAGAAGATGGGATTTTAAATAAAGGCCATCTCTGTGTTCCATGAGCCTATGATCTAACATTAGTTGCAGAAGATGGGTTTTCGAATAACGGCTGACGAAGATGATGCACATGGTAAAGATGGCAAAGGCTTAGGGTTTTTGACACAAGGCTGCCGCCAGGTTGAGGTCTCAGATGGATTAATGTGCACGATGTTATTCTTGGAACCCACCCCGATCGCCTAGTGAGTTAGTTAAAAGGAGTAATCTTGATGTGGTGCCAAATGTAGATTTTTTTGGTGTGCATAAGTGTTTTCTTGTTCTCGTTACCATCATCTTCTCAAGATATTATAGACATGTTTCATTCTTGAGTTATTTCTTCCGAACATGGTAGTTATCATCAACTGGATGCGAAATGCTTGTGTTGTATGCAATTTAAGACGCACCTCTACTGCTATTGCAAGTGCTCAGTCTTTGTTAGGGGTGTGCCATACTCATGTTGAATCCGTTTTAATCTTGATCTTACCATAGCATTTGCAGTATGGATGGCTGATTTTAGAATTTGATGAATGCGAGGAAAAACAAACTCGAATAAAAAAATAATTGGATATTAGTTCTTCAGCTTCCTCATATGATTGTAGAGTTGTTCCTTCGGTGGAAGGTAATGAGCAAGTGAGGTAAGACACTCTCCTCCCCATTTACTGAGTTTTAAACCTACTTTATTTTCTGTTTACATCAATTAAAGTTGATACTGCCAGTAGAAACTGTAAGGCCACAAAGAAGCACAGTAAGAAGTCTCGTATGCAAAACAAGTGATGTTTGTTCCTTATCATCATGCTTGGCATGGGAGACCCAACCAAACAAACCAAAGAGGAGCAGCAGCAGCAGCCATGAACGAGGAGGTGGTCACAACTTGCTCGACAACAACATCATTAATGGTTGCCCACACCCATCATCTTTGCTTCTCCCTTTCTTCAAGGGTGGTAATATCTGCAAGAGGGCGGTGAACACTAAATTCTCATTCACTGTGTCTTCTCCTCTTTGTTCCCAGAGGACACCCTCCCCCACCAGAGAAACAGGTTAGACATCAATGAGAATAATGAAAGATGAGAGAGAGTGCTTCTCAGTCAGAACCATAACCTGGAGGGAGTCCCTCCAAACACGATAGATACAGAGGTGCAGATATAGAGAGACATGAAGTCTTCTCACGCTACATGAAATATAAAGGCAATGAATGCGATGGAAGAACCACATGGGGGACCTTTAAGCTGCCATGCCCTCCTCTCCTCTCACATCCTGCAGCTGAAAGCCAATGTGGGCATCACCTGAAATATGATATGAGCATCCACCACAAGGAGGAGGAGGAGGAGGAGACGAGAGAGTTCCAGTAAAGCCAAACAAAAACATTATCTGATAAATAAATATCGACATCAGATACATCAACTTGTTTGTATGAAAATGTGATTGCAGTGGGCAAGGAAAACTTCTCTCCCAACCCCAACAACATCCAATCCAATCTAATCTTAAGTTTGCATCTGCCGGCTTTCTTCATCCTCCACAGTTTTTAACACAACTTAGCAAACAAGCAAAACACACATGAAAGACTCCCCTCAATCTTAAAACCATCTCATAAGAGATTCTTCTGATCCTTTGCTATTGAAGGCAGCACCTCATCGTGAGACGATGAGAAGAACAACAAAAGAGAAACCTCGACTACATCACATAACTACTGACTTGACCAAACCGGGATCGCGTAAAGAAAGAATTCTGCACTAAGGCTATAGGAGTTCACTTCGAGCGTGCAGGTGATGGACCTATGAATGATTATGCTCCTATTTACAGAACATTATTTAGATGGCAGACTCCAATTTCCCTAAAGTTAGTTTATGCTACTAAACCCATGGTTTACGATGGTGAGTCAGTCAACCAAGCAAAAGAACTACTACGACTATGAACAGATTTGGTTTACTTCCGATCCACCATGGCCTCAACGTTAGACCTCCACCCTCCACAGGATGTTATTGTCGGCAACATTGTGCGACCTCTCCACAGCCGCGACCTTCGCCCGATGACTTCCAGCCATAACGTTTCTCCCCCTCTCCCTCTCCACTTGAGGTAGCTCGCAGGCTTCACTGACTGATCCACGGTTTACATCAGCTGGAGGAATGAAACAGTCCATCGAGAGTCCGGGAACATTAAAAGCCACCTCCTCGATGGTCCACACCTCCTCCATTCTTGTCTTAGTGTGGCTCATGGCCACTTCACCAAACCGGAAAAGGGTGACCACTGAATGCCCTGAATGGGCAATCATCATACCCTCAACAGCACGGTAGTCATCGATGGAGGAGTTAATGGAGGTCTCCCAATACACGGCATCACCTCCGGTGCTCGACTGGATTCGAGTCAGATGGGAGTCCTCCATGTAAGTAAGAAGCCCGGTCTTCTGGCTGAAGTAACCAAACAACACATGCCTAATGATCTCTGCAGCACCTTCGCTCCTAGCCTTCAATGTCTGTGGATCTGCACAGAGCTTGAGGATGAAGCAATCCTCTCCATTGACCTCCTTCTCCCCGATGCACTGTGCATCGGCAAACATGCTCGCCGTGGTCAATGGATCAATACCCTACGTGGTTACGCCAGCATGGATAATAATTAGCTTTGCCGACCAGCAATGTTCAAGCAGAAAACACAAGTTGGTATCAAAAAGAACATGAGACGGCAGCTTATGCTATCTATATCCACTGCTTTTCTACCTGAAGTGCTCGACGAAGAGGTCGAATGGGGCCTTTGGCGGCATGGGCACCGAGCCAGGGGGTGTGGCGCCAAACGATGTTGCCGTCGCAACCGGCACGGACCTTGCTACCACCAACAGCCAACTCGACGTACCACATGTCCGGTGCCATCTGCCAGAGGACAAACCCACCAGATTCTGCATCTTTCGGTGAGTTACGATTCTTGATGATCCCAGTCGCCGTCTCAAACTCCGAGGCCACCATCCTCACCTTCCCCATTGCGTACGCATTCCTGATGGAGCTCAGAAGCTTCAACCCACCTGATGCCGCTGTGTACTGCTGCAGTATGTATTGAGCTGTCGACGTTTCCTTCCACAGCCAATCACGGAAAAATATCAATAGATTACCCCCAATTACTATCCAAAGAGACGAACAAACGCAATCAGGACGCAAACGAGTAGTAATTAGATGGACAGCGGATGCATCCGTTGCAGGAAGTGCATTAAAATATCGTGTGAAATCACAAAACCCTGTGGAAATTCCACCAATTTGAGAGGATGAACGTAATAGCTTGACTAGAATGCAGCAAGATTGGAATTTGCTGACGCTTTCACCTACCACACGACATCCAAAGCTACTAGTGAAGGCAACTTTCCGCTAGGGAAAAAGATCAAGTGGATGAAAGGAAGAGGGGTGCTCACAATGGGAGTGTCCTTGATGCTGAGGTGAGGGAGGGGGTTGGCGAGGGAGACGTGGACGGGGGCGAGCGGCGCCCCCATGACGCCGAGGAGGAGGCGGAGGTCAGAGCTGCGGCAGGAGGGAGCGGAGACCGACGGCGCGCGGGAGAGCTGGCCCATCACCCATCGCCCCCACCCTTCCTTCCTCGGGTCCCCGCCGTCCCCCTCCGGCCCCTCCGCCAGCGGCGCCAGGGTCCCGGACGCCGGCACCAACAGCTCCGCGGGGAACCCCCGCGCGGGCTGCCGCTTCCACCGCCGCGGAAGAAGAAGATTCGCAACCGGCGACGGGCTCCGCCGCGGGCTCTCCGACCTCGACCTCGCCCTCGCCCTGGCGGGTGACAAGCCCCGCGCCACCTCCTCCCGCAGCGCCGAGAAGAACCCTTGCTTCTTCTCCATCCTCTCCCGAAAGACAAAGAAGCAGAGACGGCCCCGAACCCTCAAACGCAGAGGACATGCAACGAGTTCGCAGGGTGATATCCAAACAGGGAGCCACCGCTGGTTTGCGGCGCCGAAGAGGAGCGAGCGAAGCCGGAGGACTACAATGCGATGCGATGTACCTCGACTAGGAGAAAGAGCGTGAGAACGCTCGCCGAGGAGGAAGCAGAGGAGACGATGTGGTGGTGGTGGTGGTGGGAATTGGCGGTGGAATAAAGCACCAGCGAGGGGCGAAAAAGTCAAAAAGGCGAAAGAATCGAATATAAAATATAATATATATAAAAGAAAAAGCAGTCGACGGACACGCCACTCGATGGCCGATAACGGAGACCGCGGCGAGGTCCTGTCACCGCCGCGATGCGTTTTGGATGAGCATGGTGAGCTTTCCTACCGGTTATCATAACCGATTCGTGGGGCCTCTCAGCCGATCCTGTGAGGTCCAATCACCGACGACAGGGTTTGGTGAATTTACCGTCGAATGGGCTTTTTTTTGCGGTTTTTGACGCCGTTGGCGATGGAGGTGAGCTAACCGGCGGTCACTGAGTCTCCGATTACTGCGCCGTTCAACAGCCATGGATGATCAACACAGGTAGTGAGGTCACCGCCTGGAAATTTTAGCATTCTGACACCGTTCTAAGCGGGAGGTAAGCTGCGTACGGTCACCGGCTCGAAGACTAACGCATTTTGGCGTCTTTCGAGGAGGTGAGCTGACGCCACGGTCAACGTAAACGAGGTCAAATCGCCAGCTCGGCCAAGTCTGTTAACAGAGAGCGGTAGGATCACCGTAGTGACATCACTGTCACACTGTTTCGCGTGTTCTCTTACATCAAATCGCCAACTATCAACGTCTGGAGGCCTCACTGGCCTCGCGGTAAGCGCAGCTCGGTTGCCGTAACCGAGATCCCGACGCCAGCTCGCGTAACGGCGTCGCCATGCTCACGTCACGTGGGCGGCGTACGGGAGATCTCGGTCGATTTTGAGGTGCAAACAAATAGATTTCTTTTTGCCTTTTCTGGCATCAAATTAAACTATCAGGAAGGCAACAAATAGATGACAGAGAGTGAATCTTACAACTATGGTGGTGGTCCGATCACGATCCAACGGCTGATGATGTCAATTTGCCCTCGCCACACGATGTGTGATTAGCTGTCAGACTTTTTATTTTATTATTTTATCAAGAATAAGTGACGAAGATTAAATTATAAAAAAAATTACTGGATATATGCAATGAATATAGCAATTAAAATCCTCGAACATACGATTTATGATACATTATAAAAGAAAAATAAAACAATGAAAGCCATGTTCTTAAAACATCTCCCTCCAATTATTGGCTTATAATTCTAACATTAAATGAAGATATACATGCGTAAAATAAAATTTATATTAATATTTCTTTAGATAAACTCCAAAATGAAGTAATGAGGACAGAGACAAGAAGCCCACGACAAGAACCTTGCACTCTGGGGGAGCTCTCAATCTGAAGATGGCCATATCCTTAGATTTCAATGATGATAAGGAAGGAGAAAGACCATTTATAATAATAATAATAATAATAATAATAATAATAATAATAATAATAATAATAATAATATAACATAGACCATGGACCATCTTAATCCATAGAGACAGGTTGGTGGCATCAATTCCATGGTTGAGGTCAACTCGATGTCTTTCTTTTCCTTGGTTGTAGATCTATAAACCAAGGTTAGCTTTTACGATGGTTGCACCATAAGCATCACGAGGAGAGTTCGATGAGTGTTTTCTAGATGTGTAGTGAGATTAATAGACATTAATGTTGCTTGTGGTCCGTCAAGTTCGAGAGGTGATGATGAGGATAAGGTGGTGGGTGGGTAATCTTTTGACTTCTTGTCCTCTCGAGTCAACAAGAAATAAAGAAAAGATTTCTGCCCCAAGCAGCATCTCTAATCCTGTAACCGGGAAGGCATCGATCGATTTGACACTTGCGTCGAGCGTGGCAGATGCTTGGGATCCATGTAAGTCAACTCGGTAGACCTTTTTAATATCTCTGAAGAATCTTGGTTAGTCATGCTTTGACATTTGATGGAGAGTGGTTGGATATCTAGATCTGAGGCATTTGTATTCCTTCCTTTCTGATAAGGATCATTAGGGTTTCGAGTCGATGCTTGGTTTCACAGCCTGCTTTCTGTACCTTAAAGATCATCAGCGTTGCAGCTGAGAATTCCATGGACCCACAAAACGCAGTGAGCTCCGGAGTCTGTAATGTGTTGTTCCAAGGATTTGCAGATCCCTGCATGCTTTTCTTTTGCTGTCGACATGACTCTACATTGGCATTGACCTGTGAGAGGTGGCGGTGAGGGACGTACATGTAATGTGGTCTCGTTCTTTCGGAAATAGAGAGGACACAAAGTGTGCAGTCGGAGAAAAGTCTTGGATTGGTTTTGATTGATCGATTGATTGATTACAGAAGTCACTGATGGCGACGCCAAATGGTGGCCAAAGATGGGACCTTCTCGACCAACGCTCATCTGTCAATCTCGCCATGGATTGCGGGAGCTGAGGCTGCCTCGTTAGAGTGTCAGATGTCTGTAGTCACATCATGCGCCTGTAAACTATGTTCCTCCAAGTAATACACTTGCATGCATCGTCTCCAAAAACAATTTGGTTTATGGCTTCTCTCTCCCATAACAATGGATGGATGGATGGATGGTCACTATGATCATTACTCGACCAACGTGTTAACAGCTCCATCATTATCATCATTATCATCTTGTGAGCTCCAAATCGATCATAGATTTAGAAATATTTATATTCGAATTTGAAAGGTACAACATGCTGAAAGTATGCCAAATTTGAATCTAAATACCTCTCAATTTCACTATTTGAATTTGTCAAATCTTAAAGTAACAAATTAATAAATTAACATTATCAGAAGCATTTAAAAAAATATATGACAATTTTACATTTAAATATCTCAAAATTCACATAAAAATCGGAGGAGGAAAAATATTATGCATTCACTATTTTCATGTTATTATCCCTTTATTATGAGGGTATTTATATCATTCCACACATAAATATCGAATTTGATTATGACTATCCTTAAACTCACATTATATGATCGTTAAATTACATTATTTATACTTATAAATGCACATTCTTATACTCGTTTCCAAATAGAAATGGTTTAAATATATTTAACTCAATAAATAATCACATAAAACCCTATTAGCACAATAATGTTAAATTTCTATAAAACTTGTGTTTGACTTCTAACCAATTAGAGCATTAGCACAGTGATACTACACTTATATTCGATAGATTTATGCTCTTATTCATTATCCGAATGAATTGAGTATGTTTCTATTGAGATATTCGGATTGATTGTGTTGGGATGGTTCATCCTCCATTGGTAATCGTTAAATAACTTCTACGAGAGTTTAACCTTTATAGGTACATAATTTAATTTAATTTGGTTTAATTTATTTGGTATGCTTTGATCCATCGAAAAATAATCCCAAAAAAGAATCAATTAAATAAAGGAGACATAACGTTGAAATTTTGAGAAAAAAAATAAAACTAAAGCTAGTAACTTTTTTGTTTTTTTGACATTTCATTCTATAAATTCTCACAAATATATTTATCTTCATATTTATACTAAGTTTTAGTCCAAATATGAATTGAAAAGTGCAATACAATGATAATCTAACCATCCCTTTCTTAATCAAATATGATAGAGCAATTGAATTATAAATGATAATATACGAAGTCTGAAAAAAAAAAAATTTCCTTTTAGTGTTTTCACATAAAGCACCCCACCCTCCCTTTTTCCCCCTTTTCTTATGGAAGTCCAATTACAATTCTTTTATACTATTTTAAATAATACTAAAAAAACACTATAATATAGTACTAAAATATTGTAACATAATATTTTTGTATAAATTTTACAAAAAAAATATAATCAGATCCATCCATATATAGAAAAAGGAAGGATATTAGAGGTATTCTAGATATTATCCAAAAAATATATATTATTAAGAAATTATAAAAATGAAGGTACTATCCAAAAGAATACTATGATGTTTCCATATTTAGTTTTTAACTAGAGGACATATTTTTTCATATTATAATCAAAATATTTTTTATAAAATCAAGAAAATCAATCGATGTCCATTGATCGTTAGGTTATTTGGATTAAATCGATTTATTTGACATAAGTCAAATCAAACCGATTCAATAAAAATCTAAGTATTTGATTTATCTCTCTTTAGTCATAGATTTTTTTTTTTCAAATAACCTCAATACCTCCATTCCCAAATTACAGTCATCTCAACTCCGTCTCCTCCTTCTCCACCACCATCTCATCCTCTTCTCACTCTACCTCCAACGATATCTTCTTCTTTTTCTCTCCATTATTTCATCGTCGTCTCTCTCTCCCTCTCGCTCATTCATCACCCTCGTCCTCTCCTCTTTTTCCTTTTACTCATTTTATACTATTCTCTCTCTCTTCCCTCCTCCTTATCATTTATTTTAGTTAGTCATTATACTCAAGTTACCA